TGTTACTCTGTCTGTTCTCACCTCCTCTTCTCTCTCCTGTTTTCACCTCCTGTTACTCTTTTCTCCCTCCTGTTACTCTCCTCCTGTACTCTCACCTCCTGCTTCTCTCACCTCCTCTCCTCCTGTTACTCTCCCCTCCTCTGTTACTCCTCACCTCCCTGTTACTCTCACCTCCTGTTACTCTCACCTCCCTTTCTCTCACCTCTGTTAGTCTCCTCCCTGTTACTCTCTCACCTCCCTGCTACTCTCCCTCCTGTCTCCCTCTGTTCTCACCTCCTTTCACCTCCCTCTCTCCTCCTGTTACTCTCACCTCCCTCTCTCTCACCTCCTGTTACTCTCACCTCTGTTACTCTCCCCTCCTGTTATTCTCACCTCCCTGTTACTCTCACCTCCTTGTTACTCTCTCCTGTTACTCTCACCTCCTGTTACTCTCACCTCCCTTTTTTTTTTTTTTTTTTTTTTTGTTTTTTGTTACTCTCACCTCCTTGTTACTCTCACCTCCTTGTTACTCTCTCTTACCTCCCTCTTTCTCTCACCTCCCTGTTACTCTCACCTCCTGTTACTCTCCACCTCCCTGTTACTCTCCTCCTGCTACTCTCACCTCCCTGTGCTCTCACCTCCTGTTTCTCTCACCTCCCTCCTCTCACCTCCCTGTTACTCTCCTCCTGTACTCTCTCCTGTATCTCTTGTTATCACCTCCTCATTGCTCTCACCCTGTTGCTCTCACCTCTGTTGCTCTCTCTGTATTTTCACCTCTGTTACTCTCACCTCCCTGTTCTCTCGCTCCCTGTTGTCTCCCTCCTTGTTGCTCTCTCCATATTTACTCTCCTTCTCTGTTTCTCCTCCTGTTGCTCCTCGCATATACTGCTCTCACCTCCTGTTGCTCTCACCTCCTGTTGCTCTCACCTCCCTTTTACTCTCCCTCCTTGTTGTCTCCTCCCTGTTGCTCTCCTCCTGTTACTCTCACCTCCTGTTATCTCCTTGTTGCTCTCGCTACTCTCCTCCTGTTGCTCTCCTCTCTCACATATTTTGCTCTCACCTCCTGTTTTTCTCCACCTTCTTGTTGCTCTGCCTCCTGTTACTCTCACCTCTCCTGTTACTCTCACCTCCTGTTACTCTCACCTCCTTGTTACTCTCTCACCTCCTGTTACTCTCCCTCCTGTTCTCTCACCTCCCTCTCCCTCCCTGTTACTCTCCTCCTGTACTCTCACCTCCTTGTTACTCACCTCCTTTTTTACCTCCCTGTTACTCTCCTCCTGTGTTTTTGTTGTTCTTGTCTCTCACCTCCTGTTACTCTCCTCCTGTTACTCTCACCTCCTGTTACTCTCACCTCCTGTTACTCTCACTCTCTGTTTTCTCTCACATCCCTGTTACTCTCACCTCTATTTACTCTCCTCCTTTGTTCTCTCACCTCCTGTTACTCTCCACCTCCTCTGTTACTCTCACCTCCCTGTTACTCTCACCTCCTGTTACTCTCCTCCTTGCTCTCACCTCCCTGTTATCTCTCCTCCTTGTTACTCTCACCTCCTGTACTCTCACCTCCCTGTTACTCTCACCTCCTCAGTACTCTCCCCTCCTGTTAGCTCTCACCTCCCTGCTCTCTCCTCTGCTCTCCCACTTTCTCCCACCTCCCATTTTCTCTCACCTCCTATTGCTCTCACCTCCTTGCTACTCTCACCTCCCTGTTATCTCCTCCCTGTTACTCTCACCTCCTGTTACTCTCACCTCCCTGTTCTCTCACCTCCTGTTCTCACCTCCTTTGCTCTCCTCCTGCTCTCACCTCCCTGTTACTCTCCGTCCTGTTTCTCCTCCTTGCTACTTACTCTCACCTCCTGTTACTCTCCTCCTGTTACTCTCACCTCCCTGTTATCTCACCTCCTTGTACTCTCACCTCCCTGTTATCTCACCCTCCCTGCTACTCTCACCTCCAGCTCTCTCACCTCCCTGTTACTCTCACCTCCTGTTACTCTCCACCTCTGTTACTCTCACCTCCTGTTACTCTTCCTCTCACCTCCTGTTCTCTCCCGCTCCCTGTTACTCTCACCTCTGTTTACTCTCACCTCCCTGTTCCTCTCACCTCCTGTTACTCCTCCTCCCTGTTACTCTCACCTCCTGTTACTCTCACCTCCTGTTACTCTCACCTCCCTCTTCTCCTCACCTCCTGTTACTCTCACCTCCTGTTACTCTCACCTCCCTGTTTACTCTCCCTCCCTGTTATTTCTCTCCTGTTACTCTCCTCCTTGTTTTGTTCTCACCTCCTTACCTCTCACCTCCTGTTACTCCTCACCTCCCTGCTACTCACCTCCTGTTACTCTCCCTCCTGCTACTCTCCTCCTGTTACTCTCCTCCTGTTACTCTCACTCCTGCTACTCTCACCTCCCTGTTACTCTCACCTCCTGTTACTCTCACCTCCTGCTGCTCCTCACCTCCCTGTTGCCTCTCACCTCCTGTTACTCTCACCTCCTGTTACTCTCACCTCCTGTTCTCACCTCCCCTGCTGTTCACCTTTTCTCCTCCTGTTACTCTCACCTCCTGTTATCTCACCTCTGCTCTCACCTCCTGTCTCCTCTCCTTATCTCTCACCTCCTGTTGCTCTCACCTCCTGTTACTCTCCTCCCTGTTACTCTCACCTCCTTGTTACTCTCACCTCTGCTCTCACCTCTTGTCCTCTCCACTCCTGTTACTCTCACTCTGTTCTTCTCCTGCCTCTATTCCTCTCCACCTCCCCTCCCTCTCACTCC